TCAAAAAAGAAAAAAAAAACAAGAGATATTTGCAAATCTCTTTAGTCAAAGCATCCTAAAACAAACATTTATTGTGTACCTAAAATGCCAGCACTTTTCTAGAGGCTGTTAACTATGCATCAGGACAGAACAGAAATTTCTGCTCTGACAGAGTTTATATTCTGATGGGAGGAAGACAGACCACACATAAATAGTTAACAAATTAAATGAGACATCTTAAAATCATGCTAAATGTTAATAACTCTGAAAGAGAATCCAGATCCAAGCATGGGAGTTCTACACATCTGGGATCCATACCTAAATAATTTTTCCCTTACAATTTAGTGTTCAAGGGAGGTAGTTTAGGAGGCAGTTGTAGTACTAACTGCAAATTCTGTAGCAATACAAATCATTCATTGAAAATATGGAGTTTTTGTTAGTCCTAGCTCACAAGAAATGATTTTATTATCTTCCTGCCTCCTTCAACCCATTAACTTGTACCTAAAGCATAACTTTGCTAATGAACTCCTAGGTTTGCTCAAAAACCTCGGAGTACAGATAATTCATTTTTAAATTCATGCAATCCAAACATGTATGATAATTTCTTTACTATCACAATTAATTAAAAACTCTTAAGAAACTTTGCAATCTGATACGTAACATTCCTCTCAGTAGCAAGTATTTTTATCAGCCAATGAAACAGACCATAAATCTTATGGATATGACATGGATTTACTTGTCTGATATTAAAAAAAGATCAGAATGGGATCTATACCTAGGTCTTACGACTTCATGACTCATACTCACCCCGGTATGAGATAGAACTTACAATCTCAAATAGAAGCCTTCAAAATGAGAAAGAATGACTACCAATCACAATTGATTCCTTCACATCACCTTTATATTTTACTTTGGAATAAGATGTTAACCCTGTATCATCATTATCAGCACATAATTAGAGCAGGATCTTTGAAATCTCCTTAAGGTGGATTATTCTGCATCAGTGAACTCAGTTCAAAGTCCTCCATAATACATCAGCCTTTACATTTCACAGAGTGCCCTCGCTGTGCTCTCCTCCGAGGATGTTAATCCACCATGAGTCTAATGAAGTTACTGTTTAGTTCATCAGTTTTTATACTATAAGATGACTGACATTTTGTCTTTTTGAGGACATACAATTTATACTGAGTTTAAAAGTAAGTCTTATGGCATATCATAATAGAAACCATGAGGTTAAAATGAGTTCACAGAAATTAATAAATTTACAACATCACATACAATTGCATACCTATTATCTTAAGGTAAGTGCAACAGGGAATCACATTTAGAAATCTTAAAATATTTAAACACAGAAATGCACTGATTTCATTTCCATACAAACCGGTTGCTGTGCATTTGCCAGGGCACACAAAAGTGAAACCGAAAGGACACTTTGTTAGAAATAGACTGCAGGTTTAAGAAACAATATGAATGATAGAGACAAAAATAGTATATACAGACGGACCCCACATAACAATTTGCATTATTGTGATAATTAACTCCTCTCTTTTTACTTCTTTTTTGGTCTGCTCCAACTCTCCATGTTCTCATATATACAACCTCTTCCCGTATATACTCCCTTTATACAGCTAGTTTGTGAAAATTGAAAATTTAATATAGAGTAAGAAAAATGTCCTATAAAAGCAACAGTTACAAATAAATAGAAGCCTCTTGGAATGAGGAAGCTGACATTTTATTAGTAGTAATTGACATTAAATACATAGCTACACTTACAATGAATATTGAGAGGGAAGAAGTACCAGCCTCCAACCAAAGTATCTTTATTGAGCTGATTTTTGCTAACCAACAGTGCTGAGCAATTAACCAGCTATTCTGGCTGGATTTACACATAGAATCTATTTTTAATTTTCCTGAAATATTTAGATATTTTGCTCTACTACCATTAGCAGAAAATATAAACAATCAATTCAATGTTGGAATGTAGTGTCCAGTTAGAGATACACACAGAGAAAAAAAGGACACACACATGTGCACACACACACACACACAAACACACACACAATAAATTCTCAATAAATAAAGCTAAATTTAGATAGAAAGGAGAAAAGAACTAGAGTTAATGATACTAACATCAGAGAGACATTTCAAGCCAAAGAGAATGGAAACAAAATTTCATGGAGACTATCTACTTTCATCTACCAACAGCCTGCACAAATAAAGCTGTCTCTGGATCACATTTCTTCAGCTGTACCAAAGAAAGCTATAACTTATTAAATCAAACTTATTTCTAAATACATTCCTATGTATTCTTAGTTTCAAAATGTAAAAAGAGATCTAAGTCATCAATTTCAACAACAACAAAAAAATTAGTGAAATAAAAGCTCTTGCATTCTGTTTCTGGGCAATAGTGTCTATTATTTCCAGTTTATTTTCCTCCTTTTATTTTATTCTTCCAGCATGTAACAGTGATCCCTAACACGTGTCCTAGTGATTTAGTCACTTTTTCTCATGTTCAAATGGTGAGGGATTCTGAAGTTTCCAAGCTATGACAAAACATGTAGTGGCTCTAGGATGACACATCACAAAGTGATACCAATGCTTACCTCTGGAGAAAGGACTGAAGAAGTTATCAAAAGGAATGGTCTTACAAACGTTACTTATTTTTAATGAAGCATACTCATCTACCACTAGGCACTTAAACATTTAAAAAATACAAAATATTCATACAGAAGGAATTAGGATGATAATGATGATGTTCTGGGACCCAGTTTTACTTCTGGATTCACAAAGAGATTATCCACGGAGGGTTCATTCCAGAGACCCTGAATTCATGAAAAATGGCATCAAGAGAAAGGCTCCGGTACAAAATTATGACACAAATATTTGGTAAACATGACTTTACAACACAAATCAGTTTTTACATTGATCATGCTTAACCTTTCTTTTTCTTTTTCCTAAGTAGTATGCAGGTGGATAAAGATACAATGTAAACTTTTTTTTTTTACTGAAATATGTGACAAACAGCACATGAGAGGTTGATTTAGGAATGATTTTGATTTTCTGCATCCCTAGAAAACTTTCTACCACTCTCATAGTACAATCATTCTGTTGCTTATGCTAACTTGCCAGCACCTTTTATTTTTATTCATCATGACTCACTGAACGTGAATGTCTTTCCAAGGTCACTACTGTATTTTTGTTACAGAATGGAGATGCTGAATTTGTTTACAATGAGCTAAGACTTATAAATCACATTTCTCACTTCCACATATCCAGATAACCAACATGTAATGATGAATACCTATATTTACAAGATATTCAAACCTATCATAAAATCTTCCCTGATCATTTTATATCAGAAAGTATCTCTGTCCCACTAGTAAAAGAATAACGCAAGGGAAAATTAAACTCTTTTTTTGGTAGCTTTATATAGATTGAGGTATAAAATTGGATGGAAATTGTCATGATAAAAATATGATATTTGATATATATGAGAACAGAAAGCATTTGAAACAAAATAGCAATATTAAATTGATACATAACATTAATTATATTAAAGTAAATGCCAATTGAATACAAACATTCTCTATTCCATATGTAGAATTATATGGCAGTATAATCAATAAGTTATTTAGAATCACTTTTTAAGAAAATATGTAAGTGTGTAAACTTAGAAATTTTATGCATATAAACACACTTTATAAATATAGACATACACAATGCAAGTACATATACATATATTTTACTCATCCAGCAAAATAAAATATTATGATATTGTCTATGCCACCCTGAGTCCTAATACCATGGTGGAAATTTTCCACTAAAGAGGAAACAGTCAATAGAAGTTTGGCCTCAAGTAAAAACATTGAGGAAAAAAGGGCAATTAGCACACACAATTTCCAAAACAATTGATAGATTAATTTGCATAGTTGCTAGAAGCTGAAAATGAGATTAAACTACTCAAGAGGGTTGAAAAGAACAAAACTGCAAGAGTACTTTTGTTTTGGGTCAACATGTCTTGACAACATTTGTCTCTAGAGCCCTGTCTTTCATATTTAACACTCTGATATCCATCCTTACATATTGCTTGGCTCTTATTCAGCTGTTTCAGGAAGTAGAAAGTTTACATTACTAAGGATGCAAATCCAAAGGGTTGTAACTGAACTTTGGAGCCAATTCACTGTATTAACAGTCTAAGCATAACAAAGATTCCTAGAATCCAATGATTAGGTACATACCTGCATTTAAGATACTAATCTTAAAATATGTATAAATACAAATATATACTGTTATATTCTCTAACAGACATTAGTTGTACACCAACCACTTTGGTTCAGTGACAAAACACAAGGTGGATGGTTGTAAACAGCAAAACGAACATGCTTCCAGGTATTACAATACCTTAGAGGCGCACACACATCTAACTTACCAAGTGATTCAGGAATGCACAGCTGGATGATAATGTTCTCAAGACAAAGTTAGTTACTACACATAAAAACACAGGCTGTTTTGCTCCTCTGTTTGTCTGCTTCATGATACTCCCTTTTCAGGCAAGGTTAACATACATAAATATGACATCTAGCAAACCACAAGACAATAAGCCCACATAGTTCAATTTCAGTGGGGCACATGCTTAATTGATTTACATCTATAATAAAGAATGGGTGAGGCAGGTGTACTTCTAATACGAATATTCAAGGATGATGTATTTGTGATTATTATACTCTATACGTAACAACCACAAGCAAAACCAATACCAAAACCTGTAGCTAGTTTCTGAATTTGCTAATTACGCAAGTAACTGATGTAGGAAAAAAAAAGCACTCTATGGAGAAAGGAGAAAGAATGTAACAGAAAAAAAACGGACAAAATTTTCTTACCTTAAATTTATAAAATGTTTATTAACAGATACCTACCTCCCAGTGCCCATTACCAATGCCAAAAGGTGTAAATATATTTGCGTAACAGACACACTATAATCAATCAAGAAGATATTAAGAAGAAATAAAATAATGTAATACCTTTACTTTTACCTATATATTTGATGGAATGGTCCATGAAGAAAAGGTTTCCAGACACAGAGAATAAAGAGGAGAAAAACAACAATAAGAATTATGACTATACGCAAATGTGCTGATATCCAAAGATTAAACAAGAATGTACAAATACGTTTTTGAAGACAATGAGGATGCAATCAGTACATTTTAGAAAACTGCGTCTTTAAGTCATCTACATGCAAGAAACTGGAAGGCCCATGCTCAATTTTAAAGATTACAGAAAAGGGGAATACACAGTGACTACTGATAGAAAAGTACTGATTTGAAGGAACACTATACTCAGCATTCTAGAAGCCAGAAGCCACATATGTCTACATGTTCCCAAAATGCCATGCATGAATGAAAAATGGACTGTTTCTAGTACCCCTGATAAACTTAGTATCTCCTTTTACATATTAATGTGATCATTTTCAGTATTTCTTTACCATAACTACCCTTACTCCCATATGCTGACCCATATATGGACCTTTTCGATCACACTTTCATCTGTCTCATTTATTTGTACGTACTATAATGCAAGAAATGCAGGAAAATAAAAGTCACAAGAGCAGACCAAAATCAAATCAACAAATAAAGGCAAGAAAACACACAAGAAAAGAAAAAAGTGAACACTAGTTATGTACTTAATTTGCAGCCAGGTAATTTGCAAGCATTTTCCCATACTTAGCAATGATGGTTTGAAAGCAGCAAAAGAACAACACTGAAAGCAGAGTGGAAAAGGAACAGAGCCCATACCTTGGTCGCCCATCATCAGGTGCGCCAGACCTTGAAGGGAAACAAGAGCACAGTCAGCAATAAACAAGGGAGCATGGAAAGGCAGGGTTGTCACGGGGACAAAAATGTTCAGTGACAGACATCTTGTTTCCTATGAGACATGTCTGTATCATAGAGGCATATCAAAAGCATTCTTTCAACCCCTGGTTGGAATGCTTTGGGGCAAAAAAAAAACTACAGAACTGCAATTTAAAACATTAGTATGTGCTGCACTGTGATATTTCTTCTGTGTATCAATTGGAACAGTCCAGAGCATAAGAGCAAAAACTTAAAATCCAACAATCCCTTAAATATTACATTTGCCCTTCGTGCCCTTTGATGAAACTGTTTTTGAACACTGCCCCCACAGTGCATGTCATTTTGCAGTAATGCAATTGCATTTTTAAAAACCCAAAGGAATACCTGAATTATGGGCTGGGTCTGATCTTTTTCCCCTCATCAAAAAATGAGCAGTTTCATAATTAAATGAAATAAATTTCCTTAGTCACACTGAAATGATAATGTAGTAATGTCTCCTTGTCTCACACATGTAGCAATCCAGCAGGCTTGCTCAGATACAAAAGAGATCACTTACATGCAGTTGTAAAATTAAAATTACAGAATAATGCTCTTAAGCAACAATGAATGAAATTGAATAGGTTCAAATAATTTCAAATAAAAAGTTATTTAGCATTTTATTTAAATGCTACTGAAATTCTGAACTATGAGGCAAAGAAAATATATTTAAGGCATATATTACAGATAAAATTTATTCAAGGAAGCTGCCTAAAGAAACTGAATTTTCCTTGTTTATTTAAATTATCTCATGTTGCACAACTTCAGGATAAAGATCATTCCCTTTCTAAAGTATAATGTCAATCCTTTTTAGATGCTTACTAATGAAAGGAATATTTCAGTTTTTCAAGTGAGGTTCAGAAATAAATCTATTTTCCACTCCATAAATATTTAGAAACTTGGGAGAATATCAGAATAAATTTCTGCTAATTTCTTTTCAATTTCAACTGTTCTTCCAAATATTTGAGATTTGTGCTCCAAAACATCACACATTAATTACGTTGGTTTTGAAACAATCCGCACTGTTTACTCAAAGTTTTATGTGTACTCATAGTGCAGATAATTCAAATCAACATTTCACTACATCACAATATAAAATTATTTAACATACTGGTTTCTCATTTCTATAAAAAGAATTTCATTAATAAAAATATATCCACCTATGAAAATTAAATACTGAGGATGGGCTAATACTTCATGATTCTGTATTTGCTTAGCAAGATAGGTTTATTCACCTAGGTTAAATAATTCATCTTCAACACTTGTGAAAAAATAATAATTTCTTATTAGACTAGATTAGTGAATTATCTTTAAGATGGTAATTTTATAACTATAATTTTTGGAAAATATATTTAGAATAGATTCAGAAACATGGTTCAAATGGCTTTTATATTATGGTCATAAAGATAGTAGTTAAACACTTCAAAGTGTATTTATCATTATCAGTGGTAACTCAACTAATCTTGTAAGTCACACTATAAGGAGTGATGTTAAAAGTATGATGGAGTAAATTTTACAATATTTTATGGGTGTGCTGTGGAAATCTTATTAAAACTTTGAGTGTGCAAGAACCATTCATGCTAATTCCTCTGATTTTAAAATCTTTCGGAATGCAAGCACTTACAAAGAAACAAAAGACAAGGAACATTCTACAGGATGAGTAAGGAAATGCAAACAAAGTTTAAAAAAAAATCTTTAGAAATAACTTCGAAACTCAAGTAACATATACAATACAAATGAGACTCATTTTTGAGGGTTATCATGCCTGCAAGGTAGAACCATCTTTATCAGAGCCTAATACAGAGCTAGCACTTGGAGAAAAGAGTGCCTCCTCATATTTTTTGAAGTTTTAATATACTTTATTTAATGGAATAGAAATGTTCAGCAGTTAAGCAATTCTAGTTATCACTAATGGAAGACAAAGCCTGCTGCTGACCAACTTTGTATTGCCATAAAGAGGTTTTGTCTTTCTTTTTTTTCAAGCCATGAATTCTTTATAGCCTATTGTCTCGTCATCTGCAATCTCAGATGATTAGTTGTTTTGCAAGAAACATTTCACTCGGTAGCATACATATATTTTTGTGGAAATACTATTTTCCACAAAATATGGAAGCAAAATAAATGTCAAATGGTGCCTTCTGACATATGTGGTTAGAAGCTAGTAAATTATTCATATATAAACTTGGTGCTTTGGTTCTATAAATTAATACAGTGTATATAAGTTGATAAACTTTTTTTATGATTCTTCTGTTGTACTGATTTCTTTTTGCATACTTGTCCTTTATATATTTGGTTGGGACATGACCAATGTATGTTACTTTTAAAAATTAGAATGCTAAAAAACCCTGAATTTGTTGGGTTCACAGCACTATGTAAACTTTCCCAAAGTATTGTAGCTTAACTTAACAGATACAAAATATCACATAAATACTCACCAGTAATCACATCAGATGCTTTCATTCCCACCGGACAAGGATGGCTTATTTTCTAATCTAAATTCATGCCTCTTATAGTCAGTATCTTATTCTGTGCTCTTTTTATAAATCAAATCATTTGAAACAAACCAATGGGTTTGAAAGAATATAATACTAAACATTTCCAACAGAAAAGACAAAATCACTTTGATAAGAAAAATGGGTAAGGTTCATGCACTGTGTTCTGAAACTGCAACAAAATGCTTTCTCTTTGGAAATTAAAAAAAAAAGCAGTATTGTATCATTTTTCCATAAAGAACACTGCAGGAAATATTCTAAGATTTATACAGGTTTTGAAATCCATAGAAGTTGCGATTTAAGACAGAATGAATTTCATATCCTTGAAACTTACAATTTTGAGAGCTTGTGTTCTTTATGAAAAGTGATACACAATACAGGAATCGACTGTTCAGAACGAAGTTCAACTTACCGTTCAAGTTTGAGATGTACTCTATTAATACTAACAAATAAAAAGAAATTTGGAAAACAAGGTAGAAAGCACCCACCTTCCACATTGTTGTCTTCTGAAAGCACATGACAAGGAGGGAGAGAAAAGGAAAAACATTCATTAAGCAGCATGCAGACTGGACCTTGCCTTTGCATGTCTTCCTCATGCAAGGCACCAAACACATCATGCAAGTGCTCCATCACTATCATTCAAAAAGGGAAAACAAAACCACAGGGGAGCAGGTTTCCTCCCATTGGCGGTATTTACAGGATGTCAAACAAAATTTCGGTAATACGGTCATGTTTGGAGCGAAAGGTTTTTAAAAAGCCTTTTATTACCTTTGTCCAGAAAACACTATCATTATCACATGTTGCTGATATCTTCCTAGGCAATGATTCCTAAAAGCATTTAAAAAAAAATTCTAAAAGGTTGTATGTCTACATACTAAGTTGGTGTTGGAAGTTGCAAAGTCTGTTAGAAACAGCTATGAAATTTCACCTAAAGGTACTCCAGTATGACCCAACAGCATTATCTACTTGCCATGCCTGCTTTCATATTCTTAAAAGCAATCACTTTAAAGAGCACATACTCCTGTGCAAATAAAATCTAGAATTTGGTTTATGTACAGTGCACTCATATTTAATCGAAACAAGAATAATTTATTACAATATATTAAAATGCTAACTTTTGAAAGATGCTAAGTTAAAAAACTGATCATTCCAAGATAAATCATTAGGGTGCTATCCATCAGGTAAAATTTTTCATGATTAAAAGCTTTTAAATAACTTAGGGTATGAATATGAATAGAGTTAATATACTTTTATTTTATTTTTATTTATTTTATCAAAATAGCCTTTATATTTCTGTATAATATCTCTATATTTTCATATATATCAACCATATTTCCATATCTGGTTATGTGCATCTACACAGATATACTGACATTTTATATACATTTCCTGAACATAACACTTTTAAGTGTATGGCGTTTATAAACTATTAGTACTTACTGAATAATTCAAGCGCTATATGAGATGCAGTTTGGCAGCAAAATAGAAATCTATTATAGATAAATTAATCCTTATGTTTTGCTTAATTATATATGCAGGGATAAATTTATCAAAATGTCTAAAGGATGCAAAATAGGTATAGAGTCTTGAGAATACTTTCATCTATAAATATATCATATTATCAGTTTCAACACATACATTTTAATGGATTATGTTTTCAATGACTCCTCAATTTCGCTTAAAGTATATTAGCTACACAATGAAAGAGTAATATAGATACATTTTTTCTGATGTGGTGTTACTACATAACTAAGAAAATGACTAAGAGTTAATTGTAGGCAATAACATTTTCATACATTACTTGTTTTAAAATAAATTTGAAAGGAACATAAATATTTGTATGATATTCATTTACAGTTTTACTTTGATTTCTAATTTAACAAATAATTAATATCTTACTTTTAAATGGTAACTTTGACATGGTATTAATACAAATATTAAAATTTTATTTTATTTATTTCTATTTAATACAAAGGTAAAACTGTTAAATTCACATGTTAGTTTATACTAACTGTCCTTTCAAATTCCACTTCCTAAGTTGCTGTTTTGTTAAAATTATTTAATATGATCAACGAAATTATAACAGGAGGAAATTTACAGGAGGATTGAGTGCCAAGGCTGTCAACTACTTCAGCATCACTTATTGTCAGCAAGCAAAAGTTTGGCAAATACATTGCGTGTAGCAAAGTGTCATTATGGATTTTGATAAAACAGTGTATAAAAGAGATATTAAAAAAGGAACACAGAATAAGTCAAAAAAAATAAAATAGACTTATGCCTGATACCTGACACCGATTTTTGAAATGTGCTAAGGGTACTGGCAAAGGAGGGTCGTTGATTCACACTCCAGCGTGAGTTCTCTTTTCACTGCAAACTAAAGTGCAGCCCCACACATGGTGATATTTGTCCTGCCCTAACATCTAACACATCTCTGAATTCCAACTCAAAAGAAAACAGGCTGGACTTCCTGCAAGCAAACGCCAGTCATGTCCAATACGTGAAAGTCCTGACTTTACTAAGTTCAGAAAAATGAGCTGTCTTAGAACATTAAAATTTAATAAATCAGATTACTAGATAAAAATAAGGGTGATAAATTTATTCAGAAATTGAAGAATCAGGATAAAGCAGAAAAGGAAAACAGGGAGGAACAGGAGAAGAGGATGGCAAGAAGAAGGAGAAGCAACAAAAGAAAACTGACTTGGAACAAACTTTCCTTCCGTTTCCCATTGCATTCAGATATTATTACAGGATGGAAAACCTTCACTTTTTTATTTTGTCTGTTTTATCCATTGTGATATGAACTAGAGAACTTTAAGCTATTTAAAACTTCATTGTCACATAAAGATAATGCCTATGCTATTTCAGAAATTTGGATATTAAAATAACTTGCAGTAGCCTCAGCATTTATCACTATTGACTGAGAATTTTTCTATTTCTTGTTATTTTGCTTTTGGACTAAACAAATATTGAATGGTACAAGAGATAGTAGTCCTCCTCATGATTAATTATTTAGCATTTGTAGATTCTTACTCAAACACTGTTTTGTTCTGAGTGGAACCAAACAGAGTTGTTGACTTTCGGCACATGGCAGTGTTGTGCCAAAAGGTGGAAAGGAATATGTTAGGCCTTACTTGTGGACACTGTCAGGTTAGGGGCAATCTCTTCATTTGCAGAAAACCCTGATGACTCAATTCTGCTGACTCACATGTTGCCAAGTACTTGAAGTACTCAGTGGGTCCTTTAATGACTAACTTTATGATGATCATGCTATTTGTAGAAATCATACCTTTTTTTTATTACTGAAAGAATAAAAAGAATGAATATAAACTCAGGAAAAGGCTACTTTGAATTTTCTTTTTCCTTTACATGACTATGCTTTTCTCACCAAGATGGGAATTACGCATTGGAGATCTAGTCATGTTACAACTGATGGCTGAATGCGAAGATGAAAGGAAGCAGCTGAGCAGCCGACTGTTAAACTGTATCTTTTAAAATTACTGCAAAACAACCTCTCCATAGAATTATTTTATTTGATCCATGCCTGAAAGAATGCAATGTCAGTAATTTATCATGAAGATATTCTCAGCACATAATCTTAATTACATGCCTGTAGGAAAAGAGAAAGGCATAAGGAAAAAAATATGATTGTGTCAATATGAAGAAAATCTGAAGCTTTCATTAACAAATTTAAGGATGGAATAAGAAATCATAAATAAGTCTTTTTGTATAATATTTAATTGTACAGTGCTTAAAGGAACAGTGACCAACTCGTATGCCACAACTGATACTTTTTAAAGCCAAAAAAGCAACTTTCGACACCTAGGTATTCTCTCTGCAGTGTTGTTGCTTTTCTCCCAATGGTCTGCAACTGCCTCCATTGTTTCTCTCCATGCTACCACTTCTACACTAGAATTTCAATGACAGTAGGCAACTTCTCACCCATATCCAATCCCTCCAGGATGGGGAATATGGCAGCAAAATGACTGTGAATAACAGCCAGGACAAGGAGGAATAGAGTAAAATTTGCTTCCCTTTTCCTCATACAGAGCTTCTTGGCTTCTTTCATTGCAGTTCTCACCCCTTCTCATGACCTGTCAAGACTTCACCACTAGGTTTGGGGGATTAAAGGCCAGTACATCAGGGTCTGTTCCCACGGTGGTACAGGATACAGCTTTGTTTTACTTCATTCTCCTTTTAGTGTTAACAGTGAAAGCCCGTAGAAAATCTCAATACTCTGAGAATGCATCAAGGACTGGGAAATGGAGGAAATCATTGAGACTGAGGATTTATGCAGCAGACAGCCAGAGGAAGAGAAACACCAGCCAGAACCAAGATGCGATTCAAATAGAAAATGGAGCATAAAGGTCTATTATGAAGATTGGGGGAAGGAAAAAAATAGCCCTGGAAAAAAATTAACCCAAATGACATTCGAGGCACTCCTATCCAGCCTGCCTGGTGTCTCAGCTTTAGCACATGAGGGAAGCCAACTAGAGCAGCCAGCTCCTTTCTTTCTCCTCTCTACTTAGAAGTAAACAGAGGGGCAGCTCTAAACCATCTCCAACAGCAGAGCTGCTCCTGGCATCACACTGGGAATACTAAAAACATTTCCCTGGGGATAATTTTGTTACAAAACATTTGTGGTATTTAGTTCAAAGTGTTCCAACTTGTTAAAGGCAATTATCAGAAAGGAAAAGAGTAAGGGAGGGAGAAGAGGTGAAGGAAGGAAGGAAAGGGAGATGGCGGAAGGAAGGAAGCAAGGCAGATTGGCTAATGATAAAGAGCACTGTTCTGGTATTTAAGCAGTTCAATGACACTGATGAAATTTATTAGTCAATGCAGTATAATATACATTGAAGATTCACATAAACTATAATGAATGCAAATTAAAATTGGCTTTCACGAGGGACTACTGCATGAATTTGTTTAGCCTTGACAGTCTCAGCTACTACTGTGTCTAACTCTTGATAGTTAACATACTAATTTGAATGCCACAGCTGGACTTGGGAAAGTTTTACTGCTCGTTGAACAATGCCATGTTTCCTGCTACAGAGGTTGACAGGTAATATTCAGCACAATGCTTACCACCTACATTTAATCACCAGTTTAGACCCCTCCCTAGAAAGCTGAGTCACGTGAGGGAAAGACCCTGCTGTGCTACCCAAGGACCCGAAAGCTGCGTGCTTTAGACGGCAGAGCAGGAATGCTCTAAGAACTTGAGTTTAAACCTATTCCTCTATATCTTCCCAATGCATCAAACTTGCCAGGACCTACACTGGTATGGTAAAGCTCAGATGTGAGTTTGTAAACAGATTAACATTTGATATTCTCTGGCCTATATGTTTATCCTACAATGTGTCCAGGGTTCTCCATCACTAAGACAGAAAGTAAATGACCATCTGCTAAATAACTTCATTGAAAAATCTGTCAAACATTTAGAAGGTGTAGAATTGTTCTGTTCCAAATCATTTTCCTATACAGTTTTTCAAATAAACTCAAACAGCCCCAG